GGGAGTGATGCTGGTAAATGTATTTAACAATAGCTACTTATCAAACTTCAAATTTAAACACAAACAAAGCTAATTGTGTTTCAGAGTTTATGAAAACTAGTCTGACTATTAATCAACAGAAATGTCTAGAAGAGATGTTTAAGCTTGTGCAGGCATGTGTAAGCTTCTGTGTTTGGTTTGGGCAAAGGATAACTCCCCATTTTGTGTTCTCATATTGTTACTGTTTCAGTCACTGTCGCCCTCTTAGGGCAAACCAAAGTATAAAACAAACTAGGGTGGGGCTGCATTTTTGAAGGAAAAGGGAAATAAGTTCTGCCTGACAAGACTAGCTTAAGGGCTCGAAACCATGTCTTTTAAACCCTCTTTGATCGAGAGCTTTCAACATTAATGCATTAACATTTGAGATTTTTCCTTTTCTACTGAAAAAAAAACATTTTATATTTAGTTTTTTAATAATGAAAATACTGATATCTATCTCTATCTTTCTTTCTATAGTTACCAGAGAGTTTGAGCATTAGTACAAGTTGATGAGTTGATGTACAGTTATTTTCATTGAACAGTCTGTAAGGAATGTTAATGGTAAATTAAAAGTGCATCTAATTCTAACATGATTTCATAAGTGGCACTAAAGCGATGCCTATACAATAAATGCACAATATGTTAATTTTTTTTATTAAAATATCCAAATACCACTAGAGCACGGTTTATGTATATTGATGACTTATGCCCTTCCTTTATCCCAAATATTTAAATATAGAAATTAGCAAATTTTACTAGTGACTTTGGCCATGTCCTGTTGCATCCTAAAGATGTCATAACCTCAATTTCTGTTTAGATTTTGTAGAGAACAAGGACACAACAAAGACACTTAAATATGGTGTGCCTTTTATTAGACTTCACAGAGCAGCATTATAGCAGAAACTTAAAATGTATTTAGTATAAAACCAATGCTTCACATGATCGTGGGCAGAAGATCTAAAAGTGGTCAACTATGGTATATTAAAATCTTTGCTGTTTTCAAAACCGCACTGCACTCATTACTTATCAGGAATTGCTTTAGCATTCTCATCTTGCTTCAACGACTTTTAGTCTTATTTTGCTTCATACTATGATTATAAGTCTTGAATAATTAACTCATCCATGTACATAATTTCTACTTTCATGATTACACAGTCAGCCACGACAGCAACAAACTATGCCTTTGTTTGTTAATTAATACATGCCCATAGCGGCAAAAACTACATAGTCTGCCTTTAGTAGTTGAGATTTACCCCATTTTTGTCTTGACAACAGACCCCCCCATCCCCCCCGACTCCTTTCTCAGGTTTGTACAACTTTGTCACCTTTTATTGTGACAAGGTCACATTGTCTTTTAGTGTTGTCAGACCGGCTGATTAAAGCTGCATGTTCTCAGAGCCACAGCATATCAAATCCCCTTTTTTTTCAATGATTTATCACAAGTTTTGCAAAGATACTGGAAAGATTGCTGAAAACATGATTATATCTTGGTGTACAGAAGAAAAAAACTGTCAGTATGCATGTCAGATGTGTGAAGTCATATCCCAGGAGGTGTGGTTAGCCTATAGCATGCATAGAAAATTATATATATAAGGATGCAATTACGTTACAATGGTGTGAAAAAAGGATTTATCTGGTATTTTGAGAATGACAACACTTTCAAAATGGTCTCACTTCACTCCGATTCATGAAAATTATTAAAACACTGTAATATAATTGCAATGTCAATTTAAAAACACTTTGCGTCTGCTCACAAACAAACCTTTATTTTTGCTTTTGCTTTCCTGTAAATGTATGAACAAAATGCATAAAAAGACTTAGTTAAGGGAGCAATAGCTTCTAGGATGAAGCTTTTGTCAATCAGTTGCTCAGTAGTGGACTGAATAAATGCAGAAATGGTCTTACCTACTTTGCTTGTCTTTGAGTAGGAATTGCTGGAAATATGTTATGTCACCTAAGATTTATGAGCCAATCTGGTAGTTGTCAGTCAGTACTTTAAAATAACTGGGGGTTTCCTTTCTGCTAGTTTTGTTTGAATCTTTCAGATGCTGCACTGTTACCCGCCATTGCTAGACCTCAAAGGTTGATGTGTCTAAAAGGTGGACAATGATGTGTTCTATCCTATGCGTCTTATGATTGCTCAATCACTGAAGGCAAAATGAAGTGCCTGCTTACATGGATCATAGGAGATATTTGGAAAAGAGCCAGTTGCTTTAAGCATTTACCCTCTAAATAATTCTGTCATAGTGACTCTGTTCATATTATTGTTAAAGCCAATGGATTTATAACCTATCCATAGAAAAAAAGTAAATTTGTTACACTTAGAGGTTTTGTGTTGATTTCACATGGTTAAAATCACAATGTCAAAATATGAACTGCTTTTATTGTTTATGGAATCATGTAGTATTTATTATAAATGTCGTATGCAAATAATAAGCAAACCGTTCAGTGGTTAGCAGTGTCACCTCAGAGCAAGGAGGTCACTGGTTCGAGCCTCGGCTGAGTCAGCTGGCATTTCTGTGTAGAGTTTCCATGTTCTCCTCGTGTTCGCATGGTTTTCCTCTGGGTGCTCCGATTTCCCCCACCGTCCAAAGACATGCGCTATAGGTGAATTAAATAAACTGAACTGGCCGCAGTGTATATGTGTGAATGTGAGTGTATGGGTGTTACTCAGTACTGGGTTGCAGCTGGAAGGGCATCCGCTGCGTAACATATGCTGGATAAGTTGGCGGATCATTCAGCTGTGGCAACCCCATAAATAAAGTTACTAAGCCAAAAAGAATACATCAATTCCTGATAGCGTGAATTTAGATTAAATCATTAATTTGAGAAAGCAATTTCACTCAAATATGTTAGGTGGATAAAAGATAACAACTTCTGTTTCATGCAGAATTGAGATAAAAGTGAAAAAATAGACGAAGAAAATTACAAACAAACATGTTTTTCTCCTCTCCTACCCTCCCACTCTCAGAGTTTGCTTGTCTGGAGGCGCACTGTGAGGAATGTGTTAGAACTGTGAGAACAACTGTTGTGTAAATAGTACTGCAGATCATATAGTTTTAACACACGGTGAAGTAACTTGACAAGCATGCATTGGTAGTGCAGGATTGTTGATAGAGAGTGCAGGGTGTGGCATCATGTTAAGAGGCAGAACACATATGTGCAAGGAATAAAAAAACAACAACCTTTTGTTTAACTTATGTGGAAGTTCTTGAGCATACAGCACTGTACAGCACGTTTTCCTTTTCTCTTTTCATAAATTCTGCTTTTAGCTTGTTGCAGGCTTTGGTTTCACCTTTTCCACATTTTGTGTCTAGCCTTTTTCCCTCTGTGGCCTTTGCAAATTAATTTGCTGAAATTACATGCAGAGACTTGATATTTCTGAAATTCTAAATATTGTGCGATATGCTTGTGCAAATAACCACAAGTTCTTATTTGAAGCATTTAGAGTTTGGGATGCATGGTGACAATCAAATAGAATATAACTTTTTAAATAAGAAACTACTTTCAGGTAAATTGTTTATTTGTTGTTGCAAGACACGTTGTTTTGTTTTCTTTATAGCGTTGTGTTTATTGCTGATGCCATTCTCCCTTTAATATTCGAATGCATTCGATAGTTCTTTAGCATAAATAAAATGTTTGGTGTACAATTCAGTTGGGCCACAATTTTGTGGACTGTGCCGTGTTATTGGGCTGTTATGTCTCCTCGAACAATGAATGGCAGATACGAAATCAAGCTAACCTAAAACTATTTAAAATAGATTGAAAAAATAACTAATTATTAAGGTATTATATTTTATTTGACCATAAATTCTTTGCAGTTCTTTTATCACATCTTAAAAATAATCACATATTTTCGTACCAGCTGTCACAATTTGCCACGTCGTGTTGTTCACATCTTTTATTTTGAGGGTTTACATTAATTCAGTAATGCATTAAGGTCATTTTTTGAGTATACTTACTTTTTTGAATCAAGGAAGCATTAAGATTGCTTGAATAACTCTCATACATCTAAATTCACAAGCTGAAGATTATTGCTATTTTTGTTTACTTATTTTTTTGAACTGCATCAGGCAATGATCCAAGGATAAAATGGGAAAACGCTGCCCTTTATGGTGCATTCTTTTTCATCTGTATGTCTATACTTGTGCATAAATCTCATAGATCTCAATTAGATTATATGCCCCAATGGAATATATTATTCTGACCTATCATCGCAACATAATACTACTTCATATACATTTTAGAAAAGAAGGCCATAGGTTAAATTGACTTAAGTTTTGCTACAATAATATGTCTTTCATTTATTTAGCATTCAGTTGTTTTTTTTTTTTTTTTACCTCAGGTTATACTGATTTTAAAATGCTAGAACTAATTACACACTTTAACTTATTACCCAATCTCAATAAGAATAGGTTAGTGTGTTAGAATGTTTCGTGAAGTATGAATGTAGGTGTTTTCCTATTCAAGAAGTCCTGTGTAATTGCAGGGTGGATGATTGTGAGGGGGTGATATCTATGAAACAAAGAACTTTGTGTTGAAAGCTGGAATGGCAGGCCCTCGAGTTGGCTCCATGTTAAGCAATGTTCATCAAGCAGAGACCTTTAATGTCCAATATTAATTTTAAGAACATTTTAAACATTTTTAGATGTTTCGGTATGTTTATCTATATATAATAACCTGATGTTGATTCATTTAATGACCTTGGAATGCAGGTTTTGTATTGATACTGGATATGAGCATGATACACATATGTAGTCTTGCTAGAAAGATGTAGTGAAACTTCTGTGAGTTCCCAAATTAATACCACGTGTTAACTTACTTTGTTAAAGAGTGTATTGCCATCTAGTGGTCAGCGCTTTATTCAGAAATCCTCACTTACAAATATGAAAAAAGTTTGAATGTCTCATCTACCTATTTATTTATACACAAATCTAATTTACATGAAGACACTAATATTCTTTTTTTCTTATTTCTGTTAGGGAACGAACAAGGGCTGACACGGTCCACACTAGGGGACAGGTGAAGAAGCAACACATTCAAAGGTAACTGTTCATTCTGCATACATGTGTTGTGATGTTAATAGCTATAGCCACTCTCTGCAAGCATTATCTGTCCCCAAAACAAAGTAAGCACTGCTTTAAACACTATTGGTATTTATTTTAAATTGTTTAGTTGTATTATATTGTTTTTCCTCATTTATTTAATACACTTTTTTTTTTTTTAAAGATGGATGATGACCAGGACACAAGGGAAGTACTTTTCCCACAGTGGATGGGCGCTGATAAGCATGGGCTCACCATTGAACAGAAAGGCCAAGGAGAGATTTTTGTCAAAGAGGTGAAAGATGAGTCACCTGCTGCTCACACTGGAAAAGTTCATGAAGGTATTAACCCAAAGTAAATCTACACTTTCTGACTAGGGCTGTGCAATATGTCTTTAGATTCTTTCACAAATATAATCTATTTACAATTGACCCTTCGCTAAGCCACATCCAAAAACCGCCACCCACCAATCGTGGCTTAGCAACCGTAGCTATGCGCAGGGGCTCTGTCAAGCTTTTAAGCGAGGGAAACAGGCCAAAGCGTTGTTCATATGGATTGAGCAGTGATAGACCAACGGCAACAACTCGCACACCTCTTACCCTAAACAGATCTAAACTGTTTCCTACAAAAATACAAAGCAGGTTATTTTTCCCAGATTTTTTTTCACTCGATATTATGAGCACTGCTTCGTTTAAGCCTTCGTCATAATAGTCATACTTATAGTGATCATATTTCCATCTGTTTCAAGCTACAAAAATTACATATCAACATAACAAAACAGAGATGTGATCACAAACTAAGCACTTGCAATCAATATACTTCTATATATACTAATATTTGCTGGTTAAGAAAACCTATTTGTTCACTTCTGCTATTTATACTTTGATTTGCATTTCAATTTATTTATTTCATCCACTTAACTGCAAATTAGAATAGAAACTGTATAAAGAGCACACAAACATACTGACAGTAATAGGTACTGTACATTGACATGGGTCAATATTCGGCACAAATCCATCAATTTCGCCTTTCTGCCTGCTCTTTCTGTGAATTATGTAAAAGCATTGTTCATGTGTGTTTCCTCGTCAGTTAGTAACTCTATATTTCATTGCACAACAATAGTTTATCAGGCTTTTCGGCTAAAAAATAGAAATCACGGTTTAATTAGGCATTATTAGATTATTTTTAAATTTCACCTCTCCAGCTGTGAATTAGCTGTTAGCGTAGGAGGCGGCTAGGCTAACCTAGCTTAAATTTTTATTAAATTATTCTCTAATCGGTTGCAATTATGTCATAAAGATGCCCCTGTAATGCATACTGCAGCATTTTTTTGCCTGGCTTTCACGGATATCTCACTTGTTCGCCAAAACTGACTGTAATATCCCTGGAAATGTCTGACACCGGTGCATACACACTGTAATAGATGTGGCAGACACGAAAGTTTGACAGGCGTAGCAACGGTAACTGAGGAGGGCGGGGCTTAGTGAAGGGTCAATTTAAATAGATTTTTCCGTCACCCAAAAAAACTTAGTTTCTTGTTATAAACCTATATAATTAGGTTAAACATACAATAATTAAATAATTATAAGAAATCAAAAATGCTAAAGTAAAGTAGCTTTCCCACAAGAACATTGCAAGTTGACATTTAAAGATCAAATTGAACAAGATCTGTTTAAACCTGCAAACAAGACTTCTATAATACTGATGATAATATCAATTTAAACCATTTTATAAAGCTACAGTAAAAGTAAACTCATAATTGTAAAATAAGGAACATTTCATGATGATTTATTTTCTTATGATTTTGTACTGTTTATTTCAACATAAACATACATTCAGTGGTTTTATGAATTTTTATTTAGCATTCTATCAGTTTTTATTAATTACACACACTAGGGTAATGGCCTAAATTGTATTGCTTTTATTTGTGTTGGGCCACTGCATCTGGTAGACTACTAGTGCACTGAGTGAGTTTTGTCACAGAACGTGTTGATATTTACAGTACTGAACGTCTTTTTCGGTGGGGGGAATAAAGGAACTCAGAGAAGAGTGACGCATGAGTGAAAAACGATTCATTCAATCAAATCGATAAAATGGATTTATCGCCCAGCCCTAATTCTGATGCATTGCATAAAATTGAGAAAACCTTGTTCTCTGTTCCTCATATGTTCTGGTTCTTGGAGCAGCATTTGGCAGGATTTGTACTTTTTTTGGTCTTGGGCTTTTATCTTAATGTCCTAATGATCTTGCAGTTCAAATTTAACTTGGCCAAAAAGTAGTTTTGTTGTAAAATTCAGTTCACTGTTGTAAACAGTTTAGTTAGAATTTTACATGTTCTCCCCTTTGTCACAGGTGACCAAATTGTGGGGGCCACCATTTACTTTGACAACATGAGTTCAGAAGAAACAGCTGAGCTATTGAAGACTCTAAACCGACATAAAGTTGGATTAAAACTACAAAACAAGGGTGGAGACAAATCACCTTGCCGCTCTCCAATGGGAACGTTGTCATGGGAAGGACGTGGAAGTTTCGGAGGATCAAGTTCAGACATTCTCCTGGTAATGTGAAATTTCTTTTAAATCATGTGTTGTATGGAACTAGTACCATGACCATTTCAATCAGGAATTTTATACAATTTAAATGTTGTTATTCTGTGTTAATATTAGGCATGGGCCAGTAAAAGATTGTGATGGTATGATAACACTGGATAAGAATTCCATGGTTTCACGTTTTTTATGGTATTGTGATTACTGCTCTAAAATAGATTCTTTTTAAATGTCTGGGAAAAAACCTTTTCCCCCTTTGAACACAATATATTAATAGGAGCATTAAATATGTCAGGCTAAATAATTCAAATACGTCATTGACTTCTAATATTTTTATTAGTTTCAAAGACAGTGATTTCTTTACAATATAAATGGCATCTTTGGATATCTTTTCTGCTGGAGATAGTGTTGTACTATAAAACTAAAACATAAAAAATATCTTACATATACCCTAGGAACAGTATCGCAGAAAATTTTGTTGGTTTTAAAACCTAGACTTTTCCAACCACGGTATACCTTGAAAACGGTTATTGTCCCATGCCTAGTTGATATCATACCTGCCAACACTCCAGTTTTTTCATAGGAGTCTCTCGTATTTTAGACCCATCTCCCATTTTGTTCTGTCTCTTGGAAAACTTGGTACAGTCCCCGGATTGCTGACCTTGGTAGTACTGACCAGGGCCCTTAGTTTAAGTTACGATCTCACAACCCCACCCACAAAATTTAAATAATGTGACAAAACAAGCAAGATACTGCTGTATACATACACTTTTTATTTAACAAAAAAACTGACATTTAAAAAATATGTATTCTCATGCATCTAAAGATCCCAGATAACCAATTAATTATGCATACAACAACATATTAAAGCAATATTATTGTGAAGGATGATTATTAAACTATATTAACAAAAATAACAGCAAGCAAAAGAAAGCGAGTAAAAAAACATTGTGCACGTTAATGAAAGGATGATGCTGCAGACACGCTTAATGTTAGGCCAGTTAATAATCTGTTCAAAGAATGGGTAAAGCGAAAAGCGACGGCAACTGCTGCTGCTTAAAAACAATCTTGAGCCCTTGAAGGACTGTGGGTGCACAGGCATCACTCTAGTTTAGTTTCCAGGCTTATAAACTAACAGTCTAATCTGTAGTGACGACGAGCCAGCACTGGCAATTTAAAAACGAGTTTTAGCCTAAGTGGCTAGTGGGAGTGGCTGTCTAACCCACCACAACCGAAATCTACCCGCTTTTGACGGGTTGGTGGGTGTTAATGTAAAGCCCTGTTAATATACATTAGAGAACAGATTTATGCCATGTACCAATTTATTATGGTCAATATTTCCCTATTTGGCTTTTTGATATTTTTTGTTTATTTGTGCATTTCTTTTTTTACATAGTTTTTATAGAAGTATTGTTTAGCACATTACAGGGGGCATCTTATGTTAGGGCTGTGCAATTAATCAAAAATCCGATTTTGATTTTGGCTTCTAACGATTATGAAAAACCATTAATCAAGATAAACGATTATTACATCATATACCGCCCCCTTTCCAGCTGTACAGATTTGTTGCTCTTAAAAGTGCGAAAGACCGCATGCTTCTGTTTGTGTGTGCGGCGCACACACACAGTCAGAGGCATGCAGTCAGCATTCGGTCTTCTTCGCACACAGAGCAGAGCGGTCGCATCTAAAGTCATCTTAACGTGAGCGCTTTAATGATCAAATAGGTGTCAAATAGGTGTCAAAACGCGGTGTTTAGTGATTATTCATATTAACCCTCATTTGTGTAATAAACAAATCAGTTATGGATTAAAAGACATGTGAAAGAGAAACCATTAAAGTGACAGCGCACAATTCCTGCTGCTGTTTGTTTTTGTCATTAATCAAACAACAAAAGAAGAAAATCCCTCACTGCTCTTGACTGAAGGACTTACCTACTTTTTTTTTTTTTTTTTTTTTGCAGTGAAGATGCTTAAAGCACAGTTTGTTTCATATTTTTTTTCTGTTGTATTTATTTCTCATTCTTTTGCAGGGTGGAAAATAACTGTATATATTTATATGCAGTTGAAGTCAAAATTATTAGCCCTCATGAATATTAGCAACTTTTCCTCCCCAATTTCTGTTTAATGGAAAGAAGATTTTTTTTTCAACTTATTTCTGAACATAATAGTTTTAATAACTAATTTCTAATAGCTGATATCATTTATCTTTGCTATGATGACAGTACATAATATTTTTCAAGATACAAGCATTCAGATTCAAAGTGCGATTCAAAGGCTTAATTAGGGTAATTAGGCAAGTCTTTGTTTAACAGTAGTTTCTTCTGCAGACAATCAAAAATATATTGCCTAAGAGGGCTAATAATATTGACCTTAAAATGGGTTTCACAATATTTAAACCTGATTTTATTCTAGCCAAAATAAAACAAATAAGCCTTTCTCCAGAAGAAAAAATATTAGAGGAAATGCTGTTAAAATTCCATGCTCTGTTAAACATAATTTGGGAAATATTTATAAAAAAAAAACGCTATTAATTTTGACTTCAACTTATAGTCGTTTTGAATAATCGTGATTATGATTTTTCCCAAAATCGAGCAGCCCTATCTTATGTAATAATGTCCTTTTTTTCTTGTAGAGTGGGGATGATGAAGACTACAAGAGAATCTATAGCAAGAAGATTAAACCTAGACTGAAGTCTGAGGACCTTGCTGAGGGTGTTGATGTGCGCACAGAACGCCACAGCAGCACAAGCAGTGATGGTTGCACCATCACTACAATCACTCGACGAATAACTACCTACACAGTTGATATGCCTGGGGGCACTAGTCAGCAGATTGATCCCTCAAGTCCTGAGTTCAAAATTCAGCTCTTGCAGCATGAGCAGGAAGGGGGTGATTCTTCACAAATAGGATTACCACACAGCAGCCTTGTTAGCAGTGAACACGGGGGTAAAAATTTAGGGGACATATCTTTTGGTGGGCCCCATGTCACTGGCTCGTCTGTGAAGCACTGTAGCACAGGATCTATCAGAGCAACAAGTGAATTAGATGGCAGTGGGAGAGAGATTACAATTAATGTGTCAGACACTGGACTTTCAGGGGGAAGAGGACAAAGATTTACAGAACATTTTGTAGGGACTGAAACTTCTCTAGAAGGTAATTTCTCTGGTAGAGTAACCACAGGGTTAGAAAAACAAGTGGGAAATATTTCTTCACCAGTAGAAGCTAGTTTTAAAGCTTTAAGTACGAAAGGAGGAACAGTAAAGGGCTCTGTTCTGGAAACGCATGGTTCAGGCTTTTCCATAATTGGAGGATCTAAGGGCAGTATTGGCAGAGAATCTTCTTCTGAAGTACTTAAGGATGGATCTGATGATCTAACCAAGCTGTCCAAGTTTAGCATAGATGTTCAGAGACCCAAAGTAAACATCAAACGTTCAGAAGCCGATATCAGCCAGGGTTCTGATTTTGCTATTCCAGACATGGACAGTAAAGCCAAGTTACCAAAAGTTGAAACTAGTGGATCAGTTGTTCACTCTAAGGAAATTGGTGGTGAATTCAAGCTTCCAAATGTGAAAGGCTCAAAACAGTTTACTGTGGAAAGTCCAAATGTAGAAGCAAATTTTAACAATCAAAATCTTAAAGATGTTAGTCAGAGAGGTTTTAGCTTAACTGGAAATCAGGATTTACCACATCCATCATTTAGAATGAAAGGCACTAATTTAGAGGACTCCAATTTGGGTGCTGATATGGACATCAGTGGTCCAGAGTTTCAGGTTCAAAGATGTGAGATTAAAGTCAAAGATACCCAGTTTGATGTGCCTTCAGTCACTGGCCAGGGAATTTCAATTTCAGATGTAGACTTAACTCTGAAAGAACAAAAAAGAGGTGTTAATGTGTGTGTTCAAAATATTGAAAGCAATGTTATGACACCAAAAGTTGAAATCAAAGGACAAAGTCTTAAAGGTGTAGAGGATGGCTTTATGATGAAGGGTCCCAATATTGATGCAAATGCTGCAAATGCCAAAATAGAGATTAAAACCCCAAACATTGATATGAAGACTCAAGAGTTTAATATTGAAGGACCTGAAAGAAAATACAAAGTTTCAAATGTCAAGGTACCATCAATTTCCGGTACATCTGTGCAAAATGTAAACATCACAGGACCTGCTGGGACAGCAGGGGACTTCAGCATTTCTGCTCCAAAAACGGAAGGAGATATTAAAGCACCATCCATTGAAATCAAAGGTCCAAAATTGATGGGTTCTAATGTAGACTTAAATCTTCCTAAAGCAGAAATAGAAAACAAACAAACAGGCGTAGAAATTAGGCTTCCCTCAAAGCCTGATATTGAGGGAGCTGATGGAAAAATCACATACCCAGAATTCAAGAAGACATCAATCACTGGGCCGAATATTTCTATGCCAGAAGTCAACTTGAACATCAAAGGTCAGAAATTGAAAGGCAGTGTTGAAACATCTGTTCCAAAAGTGGAAGGACATATTAAAGAACCAGAAGTAGCAGTTGAAAGACAAGATGGTCCTGAGAGGGGTTTTGGGATGCCAATATTTGGGTTGAAGGGGCAAAAAGTGGAGGGTCCAGGTTTTGATGTAAAAATCTCCAAAGCTGATGTTGAACTTAAGGAATCAAATTTAAACATTAAAGCTTCAAAGCTTGACACTGAGAGATCTGATGGAACAATCAAAGACAATAAAATCGTTATGCCTTCTGTTTCTGGGCCAACGATTTATATGCCGGGTGCTGATTTTAACCTGACAGGCTCTAAACTAAAAGGAGATGTTGATGCGTCCCTTCCAAAAATTGAAGGAGATATTAAAGCTTATGATATGGACTATAAAGCTCCAAAACATAACATTGACAGACCTGAGGGGAAACTTAAGAGCCCTGAATTCAATATGCCATCAGTATCTGGGCCAAATATTTCTATGCCAGATGTTGACTTAAATCTTAATGGTTCGAAACTGAAAGCTGATGTTGATGTTGATGTTTCTGTTTCGAAAGTGAAAGGAGATATTAAGGTACCTGATGTGGACATTAAACCTCCAAAAGTTGACATTAAGGTACCTGAGGTGGAAATCAAGGGCCCAAAATTCAATATGCCATCAATATCAGACTCAAATAATTCCATGCCAAATGTTGATTTTAACCTCAAAGGCCAGAAGATGAAGAGTGATGTTGATGTGTCTGTTCTAAAAGTGAAAGGAGATCTAAAGGACCCTGGTGTGAACATTAAAGCTCCAAACTTTGAAATTGAGGGATCTGATGGGAAAATCAAGGACTCTAAATTGAGTATGTCATCAATATCTGGCCCAAATATTTCCATGCCAGATGTTGACTTTAACCTCAAAGAATCGAAACTGAAAGGTGATGTTGATGTTTCTGTTCCAAAAGTGGAAGGAGATATTAAAGCACCAAAAATTGAACATGAAGGCCCAGACCTTGAGGGTGGTTTTAAGATGCCAAAGATCAATATACCAAAATTCGGATCCAAGGGCCCAAAAATGGAAGGACCAGACATGGATGTAAAATTCCCTAAAACTGATATCGATATTAAAGCACCTGATGTGGACGTTAAAGCTGCACAGCTTGACATTGAGGGACCTGAGGGAAAAGTCAAGGGCTCCAAGTTCAAAATGCCTTTCTCCGGACCAACAATTTCTATGCCAGATGTTGATTTCAACTTGAAAGGACGGAAAATGAAAGGTGATGTTGATGTGTCTATTCCAAAAGTGGAAGGAGATGTAAAGGTCCCTGGTGTGGAAATTAAAGGTCCAAGAGTGGACATTGAGGGACCTGAGGGGAAAATCAAGGGCTCTAAATTCAGTATGCCATCAATATCTGTCCCGAATGTTTCCATGCCAGATGTCGACTTTAACCTTAAAGGTTCAAAACTGAAAGGTGATGTTAATGTTTCTGTTCCAAAAATGGAAGGAGATGTTAAAGCACCAAAGGTCGAACTTGAAGGCCCAGACATTGAGGGTCCTGAGGGTGGTTTCAAGATGCCAAACATCAAAATGCCAAAATTCGGATCCAAGGGTCCAAAAGTGGAAAAACCGGACATAGATGTGAAAATCCCTAAAACTGATATTGATATTAAAGCACCTGATGTGGACATTAAGGCTCCAGAGCTTGACATTGAGGGACCTGAGGGAAAAGTCAAGGGCTCCAAATTCAAAATGCCTTTCTCTGGACCAACAATTTCTATGCCTGATGTTGATTTTAACCTGAAAGGTCCGAAACTGAAAGGTGATGTTGATGTTTCTGTTCCAAAAGTGGAAGCAGATATTAAAGCACCAAAAGTCGAACTTGAAGGCCCAGAAATTGAGGGTCCTGAGGGTGGTTTTAAGATGCCAAAGATAAAAATGCCACAGATTGGATTCAAGGGTCCAAAAGTGGAAGGTCCAGATGTCGACGTAAAAATTCCCAAAACTAATATTGACATAAAGGCACCTGATGTGGACATTAAAGGTCCAGAGATTGACATTGAGGGACCTGAGGGAAAAGTCAAGGGGTCTAAGTTCAAAATACCTTTCTCTGGGCCAAACATTTCTATGCCTGATGTTGATTTCAACCTGAAAGGTCCGAAACTGAAAGGTGATGTTTCTGTACCAAAAGTGAAAGGAGATATTAAAGCACCAAAAGTCGAACTTGAAGGGCCAGAAATTGAAGGTCCTGAGGGTGGTTTTAAAATGCCAACAATCAAAATGCCAAAATTCGGATTCAAGGGTCCAAAAGTTGAAGGACCAGGCATGGATGTGAAAATCCCCAAGACTGATATTGACATCAAAGGACCTGATGTGGACATTAAGGCTCCAGAGCTTGACATTGAGGCACCTGAGGGAAACATCAAGGACCCCAAATTGAAAATGCCTTCACTGTCCAGGCCAACAATTTCTATGCCAGATGTTGACTTTAATCTCAAAGGTCAAAAACTGAAAGGTGATGTTGATGTTTCTGTTCCAAAAATGCAAGGAGAAATTAAAGCACCAAAAGTCGAACTTGAAGGACAAGACATTGCAGGTCCTGAGGGTGGCTTTAAGATGCCAAAGATAAAATTGCCACAGTTCGGATTTAAGGGTCCAAAAGTGGAAGGTCCAGATGTCGATGTAAAAATTCCCAAAACTGAAATTGACATTAAGGCACCTGATGTGGACATTAAAGGTCCAGAGATTGACATTGAGGCACCTGAGGGAAAAGTCAAGGGCTCCAAGTTCAAAATACCTTTCTCTGGGCCAACAATTTCTATGCCTGATGTTGATTTTAACCTGAAAGGTCCGAAACTGAAAGGTGATGTTGATGTTTCAGTTCCAAAAGTGGAAGGAGATATTAAAGCACCAAAAGGCGATCTTGAAGGCCCAGAAATTGAGGTTCCTGAGGGTGGTTTTAAAATGCCAACAATCAAAATGCCAAAATTCGGATCCAAGGGTCCAAAAGTGGAAAAACCGGACATAGATGTGAAAATCCCTAAAACTGATATTGATATTAAAGCACCTGATGTGGACATTAAGGCTCCAGTGCTTGACATTGAGGGACCTGAGGGAAAAGTCAAGGGCTCCAAATTCAAAATGCCTTTCTCTGGACCAACAATTTCTATGCCTGATGTTGATTTTAACCTGAAAGGTCCGAAACTGAAAGGTGATGTTGATGTTTCAGTTCCAAAAGTGAAAGGAGATATTAAAGCACCAAAAGTTGAACTTGAAGGGCCAGAAATTGAGGGTCCTGAGGGTGGTTTTAAAATGCCAACAATCAAAATGCCAAAATTCGGATTCAAGGGTCCAAATGTTGAAGGACCAGGCTTGGATGTGAAAATCCCCAAGACTGATATTGACATTAAGGGACCGGATGTGGACATTAAGGCTCCAAAGCTTGACATTGAGGCACCTGAGGGAAACATCAAGGACCCCAAACTGATAATACCTTCATTATCCAGGCCAACAATTTCTATGCCAGATGTTGACTTTAACCTCAAAGGTCCGAAACTGAAAGGTGATGTTGATGTTTCTGTTCCAAAAGTGCAAGGAGATATTAAAGCACCAAAAGTCGAACTTGAAGGATCAGACATTGCAGGTCCTGAGGGTGGCTTTAAGATGCCAAAAATAAAAATGCCACAGATCGGATTCAAGGGTCCAAAAGTGGAAGGTCCAGATGTCGATGTAAAAATTCCAAAAACTGATATTGACATTAAGGCACCTGATGTGGACATTAAAGGTCCAGAGATTGACATTGAGGGACCTGAGGGAAAAGTCAAGGGCTCCAAGTTCAAAATACCTTTCTCTGGGCCAACAATTTCTATGCCTGATGTTGATTTTAACCTGAAAGGTCCGAAACTAAAAGGTGATGTTGATGTTTCTGTACCAAAAGTGGAAGGAGATATTAAAGCACCAAAAGTCGAACTTGAAGGCCCAGAAATTGATGGTCCTGAGGGTGGCTTTAAGATGCCAACGATCAAAATGCCAAAATTCGGATTCAAGGGTCCAAAAGTGGAAGGTCCAGATGTCGATGTAAAAATTCCCAAAACTGATATTGACATTAAGGCACCTGATGTGGACATTAAAGGTCCAGAGATTGACATTGAGGGACCTGAGGGAAAAGTCAAGGGCTCCAAGTTCAAAATACCTTTCTCTGGGCCAACAATTTCTATGCCTGATGTTGATTTTAACCTGAAAGGTCCGAAACTGAAAGGTGATGTTGATGTTTCTGTTCCTAAAGTGGAAGGAGATATTAAAGCACCAAAAGTTGAAATTGAAGGCCCAGAAATTGAGGGTCCTGAGGGTGGTTTTAAAATGCCAACGATCAAAATGCCAAAATTCGGATTCAAGGGTCCAAAAGTTGAAGGACCAGGCATGGAGGTAAAAATCCCCAAGACTGATATTGATATTAAAGGACCTGATGTGGACATTAAGGCTCCAGAGCTTGACATTGAGGCACCTGAGGGAAACATCAAGGACCCCAAGCTGAAAATGCCCTCATTGTCCAGGCCAACAATTTCTATGCCTGATGTTGACTTTAACCTGAAAGGTCCAAAACTGAAAGGTGATGTTGATGTTTCTGTTCCAAAAGTGCAAGGAGACATTAAAGCGTCAAAAGTCGAACTTGAAGGACCAGACATTGCGGGTCCTGAGGGTGGCTTTAAGATGCCAAAGATAAAAATGCCACAGATCGGATTCAAGGGTCCTAAAGTGGAAGGTCCAGATGTCGATGTAAAAATTCCCAAAACGGATATTGACATTAAGGCGCCTGATGTGGACATTAAAGGTCCAGAGATTGACATTGGGGGACCTGAGGGAAAAGTAAAGGGGTCCAAGTTCAAAATACCTTTCTCTGGGCCAAACATTTCTATGCCTGATGTTGATTTTAACCTGAAAGGGCCAAAACTGAAAGGTGATGTCGATGTTTCTGTTCCTAAAGTGGAAGGAAATATTAAAACTCCAAAAGTCGAACTTGAAGGCCCAGAAATTGAGGGTCCTGAGGGTGGTTTTAAAATGCCAACGATCAAAATGCCAAAATTTGGATTCAAGGGTCCAAAAGTTGAAGGACCAGGCATGGATGTGAAAATCCCTAAGACTGATATTGACATTAAAGGACCTGATGTGGACATTAAGGCTCTAGAGCTTGACATTGAGGCACCTGAGGGTAACATCAAGGACCCCAAGCTGAAAATGCCTTCATTGTCCAGGCCAACAATTTCTATGCCAGATGTTGACTTTAACCTCAAAGGTCCGAAACTGAAAGGTGATGTTGATGTTTCTGTTCCAAAAGTGCAAGGAGATATTAAAGCACCAAAAGTCGAACTTGAAGGATCAGACATTGCGGGTCCTGAGGGTGGCTTTAAGATGCCAAAAATAAAAATGCCACAGATCGGATTCAAGGGTCCAAAAGTGGAAGGTCCAGATGTCGATGTAAAAATTCCCAAAACGGATATTGACATTAAGGCACCTGATTTGGACATTAAATCTCCAGAGATTGACATTGAGGGACCTGAGGGAAAAGTAAAGGGGTCCAAGTTTAAAATACCTTTCTCTGGGCCAAAAATTTCTATGCCTGATGTTGATTTCAACCTGAAAGGTCCGAAACTGAAAGGTGATGTTGATGTTTCTGTTCCTAAAGTGGAAGGAGATATTACAGCACCAAAAGTCGAACTTGAAGGCCCAGAAATTGAGGGTCCTGAGGGTGGTTTGAAAATGCCAACGATCAAAATGCCAAAATTCGGATTCAAGGGTCCAAAAGTTGAAGGACCAGGCATGGATGTGAAAAGCCCCAAGACTGACATTGATATTAAAGGACCTGATGTGGACATTAAGGCTCCAGAGCTTGACATTGAGGCACCTAAGGGAAACATCAAGGACCCCAAGCTGAAAATGCCTTCATTGTCCAGGCCAACAATTTCTATGCCAGATGTTGACTTTAACCTCAAAGGTCCGAAACTGAAAGGTGATGTTGATGTTTCTGTTCCAAAAGTGCAAGGAGATATTAAAGCACCAAAAGTCGAACTTGAAGGATCAGACATTGCGGGTCCTGAGGGTGGCTTTAAGATGCCAAAAATAAAAATGCCACAGATCGGATTCAAGGGTCCAAAAGTGGAAGGTCCAGATGTCGATGTAAAAATTCCCAAAACGGATATTGACATTAAGGCACCTGATTTGGACATTAAATCTCCAGAGATTGACATTGAGGGACCTGAGGGAAAAGTAAAGGGGTCCAAGTTCAAAATACCTTTCTCTGGGCCAAAAATTTCTATGCCTGATGTTGATTTCAACCTGAAAGGTCCGAAACTGAAAGGTGATGTTGATGTTTCTGTTCCTAAAGTGGAAGGAGATATTACAGCACCAAAAGTCCAACTTGAAGGCCCAGAAATTGAGGGTCCTGAGGGTGGTTTTAAAATGCCAACGATCAAAATGCCCAAATTCGGATTCAAGGGTCCAAAAGTTGAAGGACCAGGCATAGATGTAAAAAGCCCCAAGACTGACATTGATATTAAAGGATGTGATGTGGACATTAAGGCTCCAGAGCTTGACATTGAGGCACCTGAGGGAAACATCAAGGACCCCAAACTGAAAATGCCTTCATTGACCAGGCCAACAATTTCTATGCCAGATGTTGATTTTAACCTGAAAGGTCCAAAACTGAAAGGTGATGTTAATGTTTCTGTTCCAAAAGTGGAAGGAGATATTAAAGCACCAAAACTTGAACTTGAAGGCCCAGAAATTGAGGGCCCTGAAAGTGGCTTTAAGATGCCAAAGTTTAAAATGCCACATATCGGATTCAAGGGTCCAAAATTGGAAAGTCCAGACTTGGATGTGAAAATCCCTAAAGCTGATTTTGAGGTTAAGTCACCTGATTTGGACCTTAAAACTCCAGAGCTTGACATTGAGGGACCTGAGGGAAAAGTCAAGGGCTCAAAGTTCAAAATGCCTTTCTCCGGGCCAAAAATTTCTATGCCTGATGTTGATTTTAACCTGAAAGGTCCGAAACTGAAAGGTGAGGTCGATGTTTCTGTTCCAAAAGTGAAAGGAGATATTAAAGCAACCGAAGTAGATATTAAAACTCCACAAATTGACATTGAGGGACCTGAAGGAAAACCTAAGGGCTCTAAATTCAGTATCCCATCAATATCTGGCCCAAATATTTCCATGCCAGATGCTGATTTTAGCCTCAAAGGTCCGAAACTGAAAGGTGATGTTGATGTTTCAGTTCCAAAAGTAGAAGGGGATATCAAAGCTCCAAACGTTGAAATTGAAGGCCCAGATATTAAAGGACCTGAGGGTGGTTTTAAGATGCCAAAGATCAAAATGCCAAGATTTGGGTTCAAAGGTCCAAAAGTGGAAGGTCCAGATGTCGAAGTCCCCAAAACTGATATTGACATCAAAGCACCTGATGTGGACATTAAATCTCCTGAGCTTGACTTTGAGGGACCTGAAGGCAAGGTCAAGGGCTCCAAGTTTAAAATGCCTTTCTCTGGGCCAACGATTTCTATGCCTGATGTTGATTTTAACCTGAAAAGTCCAAAACTGAAAGGTGATGTTTCTGTTCCAAAAGTGGAAGGAGATATTAAAGCACCAAAAGTCGAACTTGAAGGCCCAGAAATTGAGGGTCCAGAAGGTGGCTTTAAGATGCCAAATATCAAAATGCCAAAATTCGGATTCAAGGGTCCAAAAGTTGAAGGTCCAGATGTCGATATAAAAATTCCCAAAACTGATATCGACATTAAGGCACCTGATGTGGACATCAAAGGTCCAGAGATTGACATTGAGGGACCGGAGGGAAAAGTTAAGGGCTCCAAGTTCAAAATACCTTTCTCTGGGCCAACAATTTCTATGCCGGATGTTGATTTTAACCTGAAAGGTCCGAAACTGAAAGGTGATGTTGATGTTTCAGTTCCAAAAGTGAAAGGAGAGATTAAAGCACCTGACGTGGTTGTTAAAACCCCAAAAGTTGACATTGAGGGACCTGAAGGAAAACTTAAGGGCCCTAAATTTAACATTCCATCAATTTCTGGGCCAAATATTTCTATGCCTGATGTTGACTTTAACCTGAAAGGTCCAAAACTGAAAGGTGATGTTTCTGTTCCAAAAGTGGAAGGAGATATTAAAGCACCAAAAGTTGAACTTGAAGGCCCAGAAATTGAGGGCCCTGAAAGTGGCTTTAAGATGCCAAAGTTCAAAATGCCACATATCGGATTCAAGGGTCCAAAAGTGGAAGGTCCAGATGTCGATGTAAAAATACCCAAAACTGAAATTGACATTAAGGAACCTGACTTGGACATTAAAGGTCCAGAGCTTGATATCGAGGGACCTGAAGGAAAAGTCAAGGGCCCAAAATGGAAAATGCCTTCTTTCTCCAGACCAACAGTTTCTGTGCCAGATGTTGATTTCAACCTGAAAGGTCCGAAACTGAAAGGTGATGTTGATGTTTCTCTTCCAAAAGTGGAAGGAGGTGTTAAAGCACCAAAAGTCGAACTTGAAGGCCCAGACATTGAGGGTCCCGAGGGTGGCTTTAAGATGCCAAAGTTCAGATTGCCAAAGTTTGGATTCAAGGGTCCAAAAGTGGAACGTCCAGACATGGATATGAAAATCCCTAAAGCTGATTTTGAGGTTAAGTCACCTGATTTGGACATTAAATCTCCAGAGATTGACATTGAGGGACCTGAAGGAAAAGTCAAGGGCCCCAAATTGAAAATGCCTTCTTTCCCCGTGCCAAAAATTTCTATGCCAGATGTTGACTTTAACCTGAAAGGTCCGAAACTGAAAGGCGATTTCGATGTTTCTGTTCCAAAAGTGGAGGGAGATTTCAAAGCACCTGATGTGGATGTTAAAACTCCAAAAGTTGACATGGAGGGACCTGAAGGAAAATTTAAGGGCCCTAAATTCCAGATGCCATCATTTTCTGGGCCAAATATTTCTATGCCTGATGTTGACTTTAATATCAAAGGTCCAAAACTGAAAGGTGATGTTGATGTTTCTGTTCCAAAAGTGCAAGGGGATATTAAAGCACCAAAAATTGAACTTGAAGGCCCAGACATTGAGGGTCCTGAGGGTGGCTTTAAGATGCCAAATATCAAAATGCCAAAATTCGGATTCAAGGGTCCAAAAGTGGAAGGTCCTGACATGGATGTGAAAATCCCTAAATCTGATTTTGAGGTTAAGTCACCTGACTTGGACATTAAATCTCCAGAGATTGACATAGAGGGACCTGAAGGAAAAGTCAAGGGGCCCAAATTTAAAATACCTTCTTTCACTGGGCCAAAAATTTCTATGCCAGATGTTGATTTTAACCTGAAAGGTCCGAAACTGAAAGGTGATGTCGATGTTTCGGTTCCAAAAGTGGAAGGAGATATAAAGCTCCCTGGTTTGGATGTTGAAGCTCCAAAAGTTGACATGGAGGGAAGTGAGGGAAAACTTAAGGGTCCTAAATTCAGTATGCCATCAATATCTGGCCCAAATTTTTCCTTACCAAATGTTGACTTTAACCTCAAAGGTCCAAAACTAAAAGGTGATGTTGATGTTTCTATTCCAAAAGTGGAAGGAGGTGTTAAAGCACCAAAAGTTGAAATTGAAGGCCCAGACATTGAGAGTTCCGAGGGTGGCTTTAAGATGCCAAATATCAAAATGCCAAAATTCGGATTCAAGGGTCCAAAAGTGGAAGTTCCTGACATGGATGTGAAAATCCCTAAAGCTGATTTTGAGGTTAAGTCACCTGATTTGGACATTAAATCTCCAGAAATTGACATGGAGGGACCTGAAGGAAAAGTTAAGGGCCCCACATTGAAAATGCCTTCTTTCTCTGGGCCAAAAATTTCTATGCCAGATGTTGACTTCAACCTGAAAGGTCCGAAACTCAAAAGCGATGTCGATGTTTCTGTTCCAAAAGTTGAAGGAGGTATTAAAGCACCAAAAGTTGAAATTGAAGGCCCAGACATTGAGGGTCGCGAGGGTGGCTTTAAGATGCCAAATATCAAAATGCCAAAATTCGGATTCAAGGGTCCAAAAGTGGAAGGTCCCGACATGGATGTGAAAATCCCTAAATCTGATTTTGAGATTAAGTCACCTGACTTGGACATTAAATCTCCAGAGATTGACATTGAGGGACCTGAAGGAAAAGTCAAGGGGCCCAAATTTAAAATACCTTCTTTCTCCGGGCCAAAAATTTCTATGCCCGATGTTGATTTTAACCTGAAAGGTCCGAAACTGAAAGGTGATGTTGATGTTTCGGTTCCAAAAGTGGAAGGAGATATAAAGCTCCCTGGTTTGGATGTTAAAGCTCCAAAAGTTGACATGGAGGGAAGTGAGGGAAAATTTAAGGGTCCTAAATTCAGTATGCCATCAATATCTGGCCCAAATTTTTCCTTGCCAAATGTTGACTTTAACCTCAAAGGTCCAAAACTGAAAGGTGATGTTGATGTTTCTGTTCCAAAAGTGGAAGGAGGTGTTAAAGCACCAAAAGTTGAACTTGAAGGCCCAGACATTGAGAGTCCTGAGGGTGGCTTTAAGATGCCAAATATCAAAATGCCAAAATTCGGATTCAAGGGTCCAAAAGTGGAAGGTCCTGACATGGATGTGAAAATCCCTAAAGCTGATTTTGAGGTTAAGTCACCTGATTTGGACATTAAGTCTCCAGAGATTGACATAGAGGGACCTGAAGGAAAAGTCAAGGGCCCCACATTGAAAATGCCTTCTTTCTCTGGGCCAAAAATTTCTATGCCAGATGTTGACTTTAACCTGAAAGGTCCGAAACTGAAAAGTGATGTCGATGTTTCTGTTCCAAAAGTTGAAGGAGGTATTAAAGCACCAAAAGTTGAAATTGAAGGCCCAGACATTGAGGGTCGCGAGGGTGGCTTTAAGATGCCAAATATTAAAATGCCAAAATTCGGATTCAAGGGTCCAAAAGTGGAAGGTCCCGACATGGAGGTGAAAATCCCTAAAGCTGATTTTGAGGTTAAGTCACCTGATTTTGACATTAAATCTCCAGAGATTGACATTGAGGGACCTGAAGGAAAAGTCAAGGGCCCTAAATTCCAGATGCCATCAGTTTCTCGGCCAAAAATGTCTATGCCTGATGTTGATTTTAACCTGAAAGGTCCGAAACTGAAAGGTGATGTCGATGTTTCTGTCCCAAAAGTTGAAGGCGGTATTAAAGCACCAAAAGTTGAAATTGAAGGCCCAGACATTGAGGGTCGCGAGGGTGGCTTTAAGATGCCAAATATCAAAATGCCAAAATTCGGATTCAAGGGTTCAAAAGTGGAAGGTCCGGAAATGGATGTGAAAATCCCTGAAGCTGATTTTGAGGTTAAGTCACCTGATTTGGACATTAAATCTCCAGAGATTGACATTGAGGGACCTGAAGGAAAAGTCAAGGGCCCTAAATTCCAGATGCCATCAGTTTCTCTGCCAAAAATTTCTATGCCAGATGTTGATTTTAACCTGAAAGGTCCGAAACTGAAAGGTGATGTCGATGTTTCGGTTCCAAAAGTGGAAGGAGATATAAAGCTCCCTAGTTTGGATGTTGAAGCTCCAAAAATTGACTTCGAGGGAAGTGAGGGAAAACTTAAGGGTCCTAAATTCAGTATGCCATCAATATCTGGCCCAAATTTTTCCTTGCCAAATGTTGACTTTAACCTCAAAGGTCCGAAACTAAAAGGTGATGTTGATGTTTCTGTTCCAAAAGTGGAAGGAGGTGTTAAAGCACCAAAAGTTGAACTTGAAGGCCCAGACATTGAGAGTCCCGAAGGTGGCTTTAAGATGCCAAATATCAAAATGCCAAAATTCGGATTCAAGGGTCCAAAAGTGGAAGGTCCCGACATGGATGTGAAAATCCCTAAAGCTGATTTTGAGGTTAAGTCACCTGATTTGGACATTAAGTCTCCAGAGATTGACATTGAGGGACCTGACGGAAAAGTCAAGGGCCCCACATTGAAAATGCCTTCTTTGTCCGGGCCAAAAATTTCTATGCCAGATGTTGATTTTAATCTGAAAGGTCCGAAAGTAAAAGGCGATGTTGATGTTTCTGTTCCAAAAGTGGAAGGAGATATAAAAGTCCCTGGTTTGGACATTAAAGCTCCAAAAGTTGACATTGAGGGACCAGAGGGAAAACTTAAGGGCCCTAAAATTAATATTCCTTCAATATCTGGCCCAAATATTTCCTTGCCAACTGTTGACTTTAACCTCAAAGGTCCAAAACTGAGAGGTGATGTTGATGTTTCTGTTCCCAAAGTGAAAGGAGATGTTAAAGCACCCGATCTGGATATTAAAACTCCTGAAATTGACATTGAGGGAGCTGAGGGAAAAATTAAGGGCCCTAAATTTAGGATACCATCTGTCTCCATGCCAAAGATTTCTATGCCAGAAGTTGATTTCAATCTGAAAGGACCAAAACTGAAAGGTGATGTTGATTTTTCCGTTCCAAAAGTCGAAGGAGACGTAAAGGCACCTGATGTTCATATCAAGGGTCCAGAGGTTGACGTAGAGACACCTGAAGGAAAAATCACAGGCTCCAAATTCAAGGGGCCATCATTTTCAGGTCCAAATATTTCTCTCCCAGATGTTGACTTCAACTTGAAAGGACCTAAACTAAAGGGTGGTGTTGATGTGTCCGTTCCAAAAGTTCAAGGGGATATTAAAGCCACAGATTTTAACATTAATCTGCCGAATATTGATGGTGATATACCTGAAGGAAAAGTAAAGGGCCCAAAACTTAAGATGCCATCTTTATCCGGCCCTGAAGGCTCCATTGAGGTTAATTTACCAGAAACAAATGTGAAAAAGCCAAAGTTTAAAATGCCAAAGTTTAAATTTCCGTCATTTGGGCACAAAGGTCCAAAAGTGGAAGGCCCTGATGTTGATGTAAAAATTCCTAAGGCTGATATCAAATTTAAATCACCAGATTTGGACAATGAATCTCCAGAGCTTAACATTGAGGGACCGAAGGGAAAAATCAAGGCCTCCAAATTTAGTATGCCAACAATTTCTGGTCCAAAGGTTTCAATGCCAGATGTTGATCTAAACCTGAAACGTCCGAAACTGAAAGGTGACGTTGATGTTTCAGTTCCAAAAGTAGAAGGAAATATTAGTGTACCTGATGTGGATCTTAAATCTCCTGAAGTGGAATTTGAGGGACCTGAGGGAAAAATTAAGGGCCCCAAAGGGAAAATTCCATTACTGTCAGGGCCAAATATTTCTATGCCACACGTTGACTTCAACCTCAAAGGTCCAAAATTGAAAAGTGATGTTGATGTTTCTGTCCTGAAAGTGGAAGGAGATATTAAAACACCAAAGATTGAACATGAAGGACCAGACATTGAGGGTCCTGAGGGTGGCTTTAAGATGCCAAAGCTCAAAATTCCACAGTTTGGATTCAAGGGCCCAAAAGTGGAAGGTCCAGACATGGATGTTAAAATCCCCAAAACCGATATTGACATTAATGCACCTGATGTCGACATTAAAGCTCCAGAGCTTGACATCGATGGACCTGAGGGAAAAATCAAGGGCCCTAAATTGACAAAGCCTTCTTTATCTGGGCCAACAATTTCTATGCCAGATGTTGATTTTAACCTAAAAGGTCGGAAAATGAAAGGTGATGTCGATGTGTCTGTTCCAAAATTGCAAGGAGATATAAAGGTCCCTGGTATGGACATTAAAGGTCCACAAGTTGACATTGAGGGACCTGAGGGGAAAATCAAGGGCTCTAAATTCAGTATGCCTTCAATATCTGGCCCAAAAATTTCCATGCCTAATGTTGACTTTAACCTCAAAGGGCCAAAACTAAAAGGTGATGTTGATGTTACAGTTCCAAAAGTAGAAGGAGACATGAAGGCACCAAAAGTTGAACTTGAAGGCCCAGACATTGAGGGTCCTGAGGGTGGTTTTAAGATGCCAAAGGTCAAAATGCCAAAAATTGGATTCAAGGGTCCAAAAGTTGAAGGTCCAGATGTTAATGTACAAATCCCTAAAACTGATATTGACATTAATGCACCCGATGTGGACATTAAATCTCCAGAGCTAGAAATTGAGGGACCTGAGGGTAAAGTCAAGGGCCACAAATTAAAAATGCCTTTCTCCGGCCCAACAATTTCTATGCCAGATGTTGATTTTAATCTAAAAGGTCTAAAACTGAAAGGTGATGTTGATGCATCTGCTCCGAAAGTGAAAGGAGATATTAAAATACCCAATGTGGATATTAAAGGTCCTGAAGTTGACATTGAGGGACCTGGGAGAAAATTTAAGGGCCCTAAATTTCAGATGCCATCAGTTTCTGGGCCAAATATTTCCATGCCTGATGTTGACTTTACGATGCCAGATGTTGATGTAAACCTGAAAGGCCCAAAACTGAAAGGTGATGTCGATGTTTCTGTTCCAAAAGTTGAAGGACATATAAAAGCACCAAAAGTGGATATTGAAGGTCCTGATTTTGATGTAGATGGTCCAGAAGTTGGCTTTAAGATGCCCAAATTGCCATCACTTGGCCTTAAAGGGCCAAATGTGGAGGGCCCAGAAATTGGTGTGAAAATCCCTAAAACCAATATTGATGTCAAGGCTCCTGGAGTTGACATTGAATCTCCAGATCTTAATATTGAGGGACCTGATGGAAAAATAAAAAGCCCTAAATTCAAGATCCCGACAGTTTCTATTCCAAAGGTTCCCATGCCAGATGTTGACTTTAACTTGAAAGGTCCTAAACTGAAAGGAGATGTTGATGTTTCTGTACCCAAAATGGAAGGAGATATTAACGGAGCAAAAGTTAAATTTGAAGGCCCAGGCTATGAAGGTCCTGAGGGTGGCTTTAAGATCCCAAAGATGCCATCATTTGGACTTAAGGGTCCAAACGTGGAAGGACCAGATGTTGACATAAAACTCCCAAAAGCAGGTGTTGATGTTAAAGGACCTGAAATTGAGGTCAAATCTCCTGATCTTGAAATTAAGGGACACGAAGGAAAAATTAAGGGTCCTAACTTCAAAATGCCTTCTTTATCTGGTCCACAGATTTCTATGCCAGATATTAATATCAAAGGCCCCAAAGTCAAGGGTGATATGGGGATTTCTGGACCGAAGACTGGAGGTGACCTAAAGTCTGCAAAAGTGGACATTAAAGGTCCTCATGTTGATTTAGAGAGCCCTGAAGGTGGACTAAAAATGCCAACGATAAAAATGCCAGCATTCGGATTCAAGGGTCCAAAAGTGGACGGTCCAGATATTGATTTCAATCTCCCGAAAACAGATGTTGATATGAAAGGACCCGAAATCGACATTAAAACTGCTGATCTTGACACTGATGGACTTGGGGGTGGTCTAAAGAATGTGAAGTTTCCAAAATTTAAAGGTCCTCACTTTGGAATCAAGACTTCGGGTGGCAGTCTTTCAGTTCCTGAACAGGATGTTGAGGCAACCATAGATGCCAAAAGCCCTGATGTTACCCTCAGTGGACCAGATGCAAACATCAAAGTGCCAAAAACTAAGAAATCTAAATTTTCACTTGGAGTTAGGAGCCCAAAGTTAGATGCAGATATCCCTGATGCTGGTGGTAATTTTGAAGGACCTGACATGAATGTAGATGTCAAAGGAAAAAAGGGTAAATTCAAATTGCCAAAAGGGAAAGGGAAGTCTAAAACATTTGATGCTGATTTAAAGACGGAAATGGTCGAGTTGGAGACAAATGAACCTGAAATTCACATAAAGTCCACCAAAGTAAAGAAACCTTTTTTTGGAAGGTTACATTTTCCTGATGTGGAATTTGACATAAAATCTCCAAAAGTTAAAGCTAGTTCATCTGCATCTGGAACCATGAAATCATCAGATGTTGATTTGCCATCGGCAAGCCTTAAAACTGACATTCAGACACCAGATGCTAGTTTGGACAGTCCAGATTTGAAAACGAAAGGGGCAAAAGTAAAAATGTCAAAATACAGCATGTCTAGCTCCAAACTAAAAACTTCAGACTTGGATGTTAGAGATGCAACATTGGAGATTCCAGAGAAGACCATGCATTCTCCAGATGTCAGTGTAGCAGGATCAGGGATTAATGGAAAACGCAGTGCTAAAATTGACATAGAAGGAAAAGTACAAAGTGTTGAGTCGGCAGTGCCATCTACAAATGTCAGCGGGGGGGTTATAGATGCTGATTTAGGTATCGCTGAACAGAAAGGAGTAAAAGGGAGCATTGGAATAGCTGGCTTTAATGTAGGAGGACAAAAGGAAGATACTGCAAGTGGGATAGGCTTGAAGTCAGATGCATCATTATCTGGTGGGATAGAGAATCAAGAAGGTAATTTAACATTTCCTAAAGTCAAAGTACCAAAGTTTGGTATTGCATTGCCTAGAGTAGAACCAAGAGAAATGCGAGAAGATATAGGTTCGGGTGAATTGGCTGGTGGAGCTAAAGTTAGTTCTCAAGGTTTAGAAATGCAGAAAACTGATGTCAAAAGCAGTGGTGGCAAAGTGAAAGTAAAAATGCCGAAGCTGTTTGTCAAATCTAAATCTAAAGGTGGCAGTGCAGCTGATCTAACTGTTGAGGGAGAAGATGCTGATGCTACTAGTAAAGGTGCTGCTAAAGTGTCTAAGGAGTTGAGTCTTAGTTCTGGGGAACTGACAAGTGGCAAGTTAACAGTAGAGGAAAGCTCTGGATTTAAAGTTTCTCCAAAGAGTAAATCTGCCTCTCTTGACTTCTTTAAAAAGTCACGACATCACTCATCCTCTGTCAGTGAAGAGGGAGCCTTAGCTTCACCTGTTTCTACTGAAGGGCACTTACAAGCAGAAGCTGGCAATGTTTCTCTAGATGTTGGAGACACTAAGGTTAAAGGCAAAAAAGGAAAGTTGAAGTTCTCTACAATTGGAGGTTTTAGTTCAAAAAGTAAAGGTTCATATGAAGTGACTGATGAGAGTGAGGCTATGACTGAGAGTGCTAGTGGGGTTGCTCAGCCTTCAAAGAAGTCCAGAATGTCATCGTCATCTAGCAGTGATAGTGGTACAAAAGGTAGTATTCGGTTACCACAACTCGAGATATCAGTTTCACCAAAAAAATAAGTTTTTACGTTGATATCTAGGCACAGTTCAAATACATTTATTTTATTATGTCAGTCTAGATGATTATCGTAAATCTGGCTTTCATTGTAATTATAATGCACTGCCTTATAAACTGTTTCTTCAGTTTCCAAAAATGCTCTTTACAGGCATTGATATTATTTGAATCACAATTTAACTGTAAATAAGAGAAAACTGTAGGTAATTTTAAATTTTTTTTGTAGATAGGAAATTCAGATTCAATCCAAAAATGTGTGTACTTAATATAAAAAAGAAATCGATGCGAGTTGTCATCAGATAATGTGGTATATTTTTCTATGTTTTGACTTGGTTTTGTGACTCCTTTCTAAAATTGTCTAAACACGTTTACATGCAAGAGGCATGATTTTAATTAAAACTGAAAGGATTTTATGACTTCAACTTCACATATATTTAGTGCTGTATCACATGTACTTATCACTGATGAAAATCTAATTTTAAACAAAGCATTAGTAAGCAGAATGAAGTTTAAGGGCTGTAAAAATTGTAAATAAATTGATTCAGAATAGATGCATGGGATTATATTACTTTGTGTCCCAAATAATATGGCAGTTCAGATATTCTGTTATGAAATTTACACAGAGATTATTATCTTCTAAAGTATTTATATCTTTTCTATAATTGAATTGCTTTAAAATGCACACATGGAGCAGCTGACAAAGGGCTGTGACTGGCTTTGATGTTTTAAATGATTTCAAAGGCATTTTAGTTGTATCTTCCACATTTCTTTACATCCAATTGACTCTCTCTCTTCCTCTTACTACATTAATGAAATGTCGTGCTGCAAAGTGGTGATTATACCTACAGAAATGCTAATGATTAAACAATATTTTTTAAAAGGCTAAAATGTACATCACCTTTGTAAATAGTGGGACATTTAGGCTGTATGTTTCTAACTTTTTCTTGTATCTGTTGCAAAAAAATTTAATAAAGAGTTCAATTCTAAACATGTGTTGAAAGTTGTTTACACTGTTTGCATGACAGTACTGTTTTGTTATATAAAAAAGGCTTCTATATAATTACACACAAACCATCTGATGGATAAACTTTACCTAAAACTAAAAACTATGTCATTGTTTAATCCCATTTTACTTTTTCCAAACCATTTAACTTTCCTCACTTGAACGGAAAAAAAGATATATTTTGAAGAAAGCTGGAAGCCTATAACCATTGACATCCATAGTATTTTTCAGTTTTCTTTCGTCTTTTCTGTTATGCAGAATAAAGACATAAAGGTTTGGAACCACTTGAGGATGATTAAATGGGGAATTTTCATTTTTAGGTGAACTACCCCTTTAATATTAGCATTGAAGGCTTTGGAATAGGATTGCATTCGTTCAGCTTTGGGTTTATCCATCATTCTTTTAGCTTTCTATGAAAACTTTGATGGGAGCCATCACTAAGAAAACAGGAAATAGGCTTTCCTGTACTGGCTCCAACCAGGAAATCAGGAACTTCCTTTGAGGGAGTGTAGTTTTGTTTTGTATGCAAATGTTCGTTAGCAGTACTGGGATGAGAAAGTTAAGTCAGGCAGTATTCTGTAGTTAGAAGCTGAGGAGTACAGACAAACACATTTTTCTTTTGTTCAAACGGTAAGAAGTCTTTTTTTTACCATGCAGTTGCTATTCAATTTAACCATTTTAACGGATGAAGGTGGATTTATTTAATTTTTGAATGTGTTTGATTCTTTGGTTTGGATTTTAGACCTCTGCTTTGGTATTTTTTATATCTGATTACTCTAGTTTGACATTATGGAATCTCTTTTTTTCATTTGTGCTTTGAGGTATATAGTTTAGCTTTGATTCTTGTTTTATTTCAAAGACATAGCCATGAAAAACGGTAGAGAGATGGGAGAATAGGCTATATATAAATATATATATATATATATAATATATATATATATATATATATATATATATATATATATATATATATATATATATATACATATATATATATGATAATAAAAATTGTGGTAATATTTACCTAGTAATATAAACAGTCCTAAATAACCCGTGGGTAAGGCCAGACGGAATCTGCGGACATTTTTTGCTATTTCTGCACAGAATGTGTTAAAAAACCTGCAGATTTATGTGGAATTATTTTGTGAGTATCATAACCAAAATATTTTATTATATAAAATAAAAAGTAATAGCTTTCAACTTTTAACAATGCAAATCCCATAAGATTCACTTTATTCTGTGAAAAAAGCAAGTGTTTCATATAATATCATACTAAAAGACAGAAAATACTTTACAAACTGTTTTAAAAAAATCATATGAATATTTTCATATGTCAATATTATTACTGTAATTAATTAAAAAACTGAATAAATATAAGTTTACACACATTTAAACAAATAAATATACAGACTCAATGATGGGCTAAAAATCTGCGTAATTCTGTGCACACATTCAGTCTGGGCCTACCTATCGGTCATGGGTTAAGAGTGTGATTCTTTATTTATTAAAAACATAACTTTCTTAGTCCAGAAATGTGTTATACATTTCTTACAGGAATTTAGGACATTTAGGGTTATTTAAGGACATTTTGATTAGCAATAATGCGTTGAGATTTGAAACGTATCGTGCAATATTGGCGTGAACGTATTTCATTCTCCTGGCAGACATAAATCTTTCAATGTTGAAATGATAATTTAGACAAAGTATAAAATATTAAGAATGATATTTTGATATTATATAATGATATGCTTGGCCTACAGTATATTAAGATAGGACTATACAAAAAAAAAAAAAAAAAAAAAAAACACTCTGCACTGTGTTCTTGCATTTAATACTGTTACCAAATTATACATGCCCCCTTATACATACAGAGCTATGCTATGCTGTATACAATCAACTTGTTGAAACATGAACAATGAATTTGTTATTTTCAAGATAGCTGATATATTAATTCAAGCTTGTAATGTAGTTCAGTTTCAGACTAAGACTGCATTTATGTTGCTATTTTTTTTAAAAATTTGATTTATATTTGTGCTGTCGTTCAATTTTCACGGTGAGCTGCAGCTGCCTTATGTCATTATTATTCATAAACATGTTTTTTCTCTTTAAATTAATAAATTAAAAATCAAACGGCATCAAAATGTCGCCATTGAATAATTATATAGGTTCACATTATTTAGCAGATACCTGCAATTACAGTATAGCATCAAATGAGATTAGTTTGAGCATCCAGTGGAAATTAATTCATTAGCCATATGGCTTTCGTCACCTGCTGTTCGTTGCTCACATTAAGGTAAATAAATGTCCAAATTTCACAGGGTGTTGTTAATTTCACAGTTTTACACAGCTGAAGAAAGAACAACTGAATGACTAAATCCCCATCAAATGTTTAATTCATTTTTTTTCTTTTTGGCTTAGTCCCTTTATTAATCTAGGGTCGCCACAGCGAAATGAACCACCTACTTAACCAGCATATGTTTTTTACGCACAGATTTCCTTCCAGCTGCAACCCAGAATTTGGAAACACCCACACACACACACTCACACACACATACACTATTGACAATTTAGCTTACTCAATTCATGTGTACATGTCTTTGGACTTGTGGGGGAAACCAGTGCACCCGGGGGAAACCCACGTGAGGGGAACATGCAAACTCCACACAGAAATGCAAACTGACAAAGCCAAGGCTCAAACCAGCGACATTCTTGCTGTGAGTCGACAGCACTACCTACTGCCCCACCGTGTGATGATACATACACAAAAACAAAATTCAATTATCAAAGCATAAAATAGATTATTATTATTTTTATTATTATTGATGTTGTTGTTAGGATAAGTGAGGGTGCCCTATGTGTTATAGTGTCAAGTATCAGGCCAAACTTTATTGTAATGAAAGTGACGTGAGCCAAAAAACATACATTGAACTGAACAGTGGATTTTTTTCTCAGCCATGTGCACGCAGATCCACCGCAACAGGCGTCTCTAAGCCATTAAAATGGCTTTATTCCATTCATTTAAATGTTTAGTCAGTTCCCTAACGATTTTGCGATTAGATCCATAAACATACATTTTTTATCATGCCCTATTTAAAATTCACTTCGGCTCCTCCCCGTTGCGGAAGCTATGACCGCGGCGGCGCAGGACAGGTGTGTGTTCATCAGTTGTAAAAATATCAGCATTTTTGCAATTTTGTCATAGATACGGTTTTCAACATAAAATGCTTTTCAAAGTGAAGGCTGGCCTGACCACACTATACCTTACTGCTAGTTTTCACATTCTCTATATTCGCCCCTGATGACACCACAGGTTCCTCCAGCAAAAATATAAGATATCATATGCATTGTTTGTGAAAACGAAATAACGCCATTGGAAAATGTAATAAAAAACGTATTACTGTATGGTAATTCAAACAAGGCAAAATGATTAAAGATGTCAGGAAACACTTTTGATTAGATCAAGAGACAGAGATCTGTTTTTTTTTTTTTTTAAATAATGACTCATCCTGAAAATACATTTATTAAATTATGCACGTGAAATTCATTTATTGACAGATTTGTTTTGTGCACTTCAAATGAGTTTTTTTTTTAGAAAGTTAACGAATTACTCAAATCCAGACAGGAGTGTTTTGCTTGAAATATTCAAATGATAAAATAATAATAAAATAATAATAATAAAAATGAAATTATAACAATACAAAAAAAAAAAAAAAACTCTTCATGCTTCAACATGTACAAAACAAAGTTTGCCTCTAGTTTCGAATCGAAAGATGCATTTTGCTTAACGCAAGAGTTTCTATCATTTAAGGAATCTGTATCAAAATTTGTCCATTAGCTTATATGTATATTTAAGACTCTCTTTCAGGCTCTATTTTTACAGTGGATGCAATATGTATATTTATACAACAGTTCTGTCTGGTTCTTGAATATGATTGGCTGATAGCCGTGCAATATTTTGTCAGAAACATCACACAAAGGCCTCTTCACCCTTCCCTATTACTCCGCCCACATACTGCCAGCCACAAGCACGCTACAGTTTGACAAAAATTACTGTTGTTAGTCAACAAAATGTACTTTTGATGCTTTTTTTTTGTCAAGAATGTAATTGTTTAGATTGCAACTATGCAGTTTACTTGTAAGAATAGCGCCTATTTTAAAATATTTACAATTTCTCGTCGGTGGCCAAAGATGGTTGATGTTGTCTATCCACAAGATGGCGCCAGAACCGCATAAGAAGCCCTTGCTTTTTGTGTTTTCCTGAGCGCAAATAAGAAGCTGAAAAACAGAAGTGTCACGGTTTTTAAGGTGAACCGAATAGAGTCAATAAGAAGCTGAGAATAAGAAGCTGGCTGTAGCGTTCTTTTATTTCAATAATGTAACATTTTATTTTGCGATGGATGTTTGAGTGTATTTTTCTTTTCCTTTTGCCTACTCATTGTCGTTGACTGGCATGCATGTAGTCGACAGCACTTGGGAGAAACGCAGAAAGGCCAATATGAAGAGCGAAATAGTTTCTGTCTCCTTTTATTATTCCATAAAGTCTCCGGGTAAACGCTGGGACACCTGGCACCCGTCACAATACCGACGGCAACAGAGAAATACTGTAAACTGTAATAGACTGTAGGGAGAAATTTCTGTAGATGGATGGCATTTCATGTCACGTTCAGCCTTGTAATCTTAAAATGTGAGCAAAATTCAGCTGCTTTGTCATCACCTTAAGGGGGTCACACACCAGAAGCGCCGCTTCACATTACGCTATAGTACTGGTATACCACCAGTGCTGATATACAACCATATTACACTGCTACTCGTATGAGTATATATATATATATATATATATATATATATATATATATATATATATATATATATATATATATATTAGGGCTGGGCGATTTGTCAAAAAAAATCTAGGTTTTTTATAAAGTTTGACCGATTCGCGATTTTGAATTTCTTTTTTTATTGTGTAACCAGTCAACTTAAAACATTACAACAACATGGCTGAAGTAACTTGAAAAACCATCTGGGTAAGGAAGATTGTTATTTTAATGGCCATGCCATACATAAATTGGTCAACAAGGTGTAAATAAATGTAAAACAAATTCAGGAGTTAAATATCGTTGCAGAAGATTTTAATAAAAAATATGTGTGTAAATATTGCAGTTGCAGAAATACAGAGGTATTTTTTTGCAAGGTTTGCTGAGCCTAGAAAAGATAGGCTGTCAGCTCGGTTTTGAATTTGTCATCTTCTGATTGATTGACAGGTTGTGATGCTGCTGCCTTTTTCTTAAAAAAAAAAAAAATACAGTGGAAGAAAAGGACTGAACATGGAAACTGTAAAGCCTAATTTAACCCAATGCGTGAAGTTGTGGATGTATAGCAGGAGCAAATAAAAGCACTAGATGTGTGTCTAGTATAAAATAATATATTTAATAAATTTTTCTTTTTTCCCCTTTTAAATATCAATCATTTGATGCGCTTTGCAGCTCTCTCTATATTATGCTGCCTGATCTGTCTGGTTTTCAACTAGGTCCGCAAAATGACGTCATGGGGCGGGTACTTTCATTTTCACTGCTACAGCTGCTGCTTACCTCTGCTCATGTTCAAACCAAAAGATCAGCGCTGTTCGAACTAAGATCGACGTCGTTTTTCACATGGCAGGTTTTTACGTCCTTCATACATGTTGAGATCGAGTTTATCAACTTAATGAGGTAATATGTCTTGACAATCCACACAGTGACTTAGCAAAGCGTGAAGTCATGTAGGATTTTACTTGTTGCATTGGTCTGAATGTAAATCCCCTCGTCAGGCAGTGCTGTGGTAGTGTGAGAGAGGACCAAAGCATGTTTGATGCAAAGGTATTAACAAAAGAAAAATACACAACTGAAGACACTTAAATGCTTGTATTTGTTGTATTTGCACCAGCTCTGCGTTGCATGCCCACAACTTCATGCATTGGGTTGAATTAGGCTGTCCAGTCTTTGCGTTCAGTCCGTCACTACCATCATTGAAACCACGACAGGCAGTCAAGCCGGTCGCACACCAGAAGTGCCGCGACACGGCGTGCACATGACAGTTTAAACTATCACACACCAGACGCGCACATTCGCATGATATTTAAACTGGAACTAATCGGATGCCGCTCTGTGGCGCGGCTGAAATATGAACTGCGTCCTGAATTGTTGCTGGGCAGCGCCGGTGTGTGTATAGAATTCTATAGAATTTTTGTTTAGAATTCAAAAATCTATGATGCTGCATGGTGCTACACGGCACGTCGCCGAGTGGCGCTTCTGGTGTTCGACCTGCTTCATACAGAGAGTAAACCAAACCGCATTTTTGCCATCATAATGTATCAAATATTTTTAGAAAAAAATCTCGATTTCTCGATTTAATATAAAATTAAATCGTTGTCAAAACTTAAATTCAAATTAATTGAAAAAAAAACACCCAACCCTAATATATATATATATATATATATAAGCAATAGGAACAGGAAGAGGTTAAGAAGGAAAAAATAAAAAGGATTTATTATAATACTCATTTTGTTTAACTTAAAAGCCAAGAAAAGTCCTTTAGTTCCTAGTGTATTGTATAAAAAAATTTACCACTGAAATCTTACAGCTGCTGGTTGCCCATGTACAAACTGGGGAACATAAAATTCTACACTTTGAAAATAAACCTACATGTGAAGTTAATAAATATGAATTGCCCATTTCGAATAAACATATTTTTAATTATGTAAAATATAAGGTTTAGCTTATAAAAGTCAATGGCATATACAGAAATTAAATACAGCTATAAAATCTACTTCACTTTTTATTGTATTTGCATATTGATTAAAGTTACTATAGTTATTTAGTGAAGAGCAGCAAACAAATTTCTCATTGTGTTTAGTTTGATAACAGAGGTGTTAATGTAAGAATGCACAGATCTATAATAAAGCATTCGACTACTTTAGTAATATTTTTTTGTTCATTTAAGAGAAAATTTGTTGTGTTTAAAGTAAAACACGCAGGACAGAGCAAAAAAAAAAAAAAAACACGAAAAAAAGAAGCACTTTTTCAAGGGTCCCTTACTGAGAGCTCCGCTCAGCATGAGCTCTCCTGGCTAAACAAGCGAAAAAAAGAAAAAGACAGCTGTGAAACATAACCAGCTTTGTCTTTTTGGAGGAAACACACTTTAGATCTTTTTAGGATAAGAGGTTTTTGAGTTATTGCCGTCTATCACTAAATGTGTCAGGAATATCGATAACAAAACCAACTTAACCACGCTCATTTCTGGCGCCCCCCTGGATGTACAGCGCCCTTAGCATTTGCCTATATGCCACAGGCCGGCCCTGGTCCTCAGCGCAGATTTGAAAGACGACGTTGCTTCTTCGTACTGTTGCCTCACTTCGCCTGCGCTTCCTTGTAATGTTGCCCTAACCTCACTTCACCGCCGCTTGCCATGTTAAAATGTGGAATGATGGTCAAGCGCCCCCTAATTTTAGAGCATAGTGATTGGACATTTACTCGCGGGGAAGAGTTTCCTCATCTCAGCTCATGGACTTACAGGCACACACAGTCAAATCGGGGAGATATAAAACACACATAAATTATTTAAACGCAAAACCGAGAAAACCGCAATTCACAAGCGTGTATTGAAATGTAGAGGTCGTACCGTACGGTTCAATATTATATTAAGAACCGTGGCATGTCTATAATATATAAATAAATAAATAAATATATATATATATATATATATATATATATCATCACCATTGAATTATAAGGTTCTATCTGCTTTCTGAATGATTTTGAGATATTGAGCTTCAAAGTTTTGTGTATGTGTGTAATATTTATTTTTCAAATAAGTCTTAAAATGTAAAGGGATTATAAAAAACTTCATATAATGTAAATAAGTTGTCATCTAATAAGAATATGTCAATAACTCAATTTTAAAGGAATGAAAGCTTAATGAATATTCTCACCATAATAGATGCCATAATCTAAGGTTAACATATTTTCAGCTAAACAATAGAACAGCCAACTAAAGGCACTGCACATTAATAAATCATTGACTATCACCAGTATAAAAATAGCAAATATTTGGATACAAATAAAGTCAAATATCTGATGCTGCAGCACATTAAATCAACATTTACTGAAAGTCTATCAGACGAACAATCTTTGAAAAAGTAGAAAACTGTCACATCACATTGCACATCAGTGCTTGATTACATAGTGATGAAAGAACAGCATTGCTTTAAATGCATTTCAAGCACACTGTATAAAAGTGAGGGTTTTAATATTTGGCTTGCATTATAAATTAACCAGGAATAATCAATTATTCAGTTAATAATCAGTTAATCAGACCAAAACAGTCTGAGCAAGTGAAACTAGCCCACATTTTTTCTTGCATATTATTTAGTGTTCAAACAGCAAAAGGTGTTTTGTACTGTATACTTTATACACTGTATAAGTTCACTAATAATTTACTGCATACTATTCACGGTCACATAGTGTGGCTTTTTCCTGAACATTTACTTGAAATAAAACACTGACTGGTTCCCTGACGAAGAAGTCAAAACAGTGATACTCTTTGGCGTTTATCTGTCACTACAGCACGAGACAGACAGTGAGAGAATAATTTTTCTGCATGGTTTACTTTGCCGAGAGGCTGAGACTGTCTCCCTCGGGATCCCGTCAGATGCGGGGACTGTGTGAGAAGACATGCCTATGTGCATGCGTGAGCGAGAGAGAGAGCTAGAGCGAGGGAAAGAGCATGTGTGTGCACACATAAAGGAAAGGGGCAGAGTGTGAGTGCGAGCGCAGATGATGCTGCTTGTGGAAGGACATGGTGCTGCTTTTGGCTTTCCTTCCTGTGCTACAAGATTTTCTCCACTAAGCTTTGACCTCTGTGTTCTGTCAGTCTGGTATCTCACCTTCTCGGGTAAGAGCTGTTCTTTATTTGCTGCTGGAATGAAAGCAGGTTGCTGTAAACGTTCCTCATGTGTGTGTGTGTGTGTGTGTGTGTGTGTGTGTGTGTGTCGCATGTGCAGAGAGACTCAGAACGACAAAGGGAAGGGAGGAGGGTGGAACAGGCAGAGGATATCATGTGTGTGCTATAACTAAGGACAAGAAGCAGACAGAGTTGGAGAAGACAGGAGAGAAGACACAAGGCAGAAGCTGCAGACATCATCTCTTTACTGGCCAGAACGGACAACAAAGACAAGAGGGGTATAGCCTCTGAAGCTGGCGATCTGCCTCGTTATTTCACCGATTCCATGTGCCACTGACATTGCATCGAAGGCAAATAGGATGTCTGTCTCTGGAAAAAAGGAGTTTGACGTGAAGCAGATCCTCAGGCTCCGTTGGCGCTGGTTCAGCCACAGCACTCAGACCTCAGCTGGGAACGGGGGCTATATTCAGCAGGAGGGTTTTGATCACCGAGGAACACCGGTCCGGCTGAAGAGTCACTCTCGGGACAGAGGAGGACTCCGTAAGAGCAACAGCCCAGTGCACAGCATTCTGGCTCCGAACCCTGGACCCACATCTGTTTATGCCAGGCCGGGCAATCAATCATGGCATCAGCAAAACATCATCCAGCAGCTCCAAGCTAGCGAGGAGCTTCCCAAGAGCAACTCACCTTGCAAAGAGGAGGCGAAGAGCGGCCATGAGGATGTAAAGAGCAATTCAGAGGATCCCTCTGAGGAGGAAGCCACAGACAGGTAAAAAAAAAGCTCAGACATGTGAAAAGGTGCCTGCTGTTGTCAGCCAACTCACACATTCAGGGTGCAAGCAGCTAAGTTTCGCCTGTAGGCATAAAAGACGTGCAGATTTTTGATGGAAATCCTGTTTTTTGCCCTTCATGCGGTAATAAAAACAGGCAGCGCGGTGCTAGGAGATGAGCGAGGTGTTATTTTGGCACAGAGTGGATTTACGGTAAGCCTCAGGGAGCTTCAAGATTGAGTACAAGTACAGTATTTAACTGTCACTCTAGTCAAGCTCATTACGCCAGTGAAATTTGCTCAGAAATGACAGTTTGTTTTATTTTCTTTCGCTGTGTTGCCAGTACTCAGGGCCGCCGCTAACACGGCGGTTTGGTCTTCTGAGAATATCGTTTTTCAATCAACTCCACCATTGCATCTGCCACCACTGTTCACCTGGGAATAGTTCATTCACATGGCATACGGGTTGTAGAAGCATGGCTCTGAAATAACCATAGATAAATTATTCATCAAGCAGACACATCTCACAAAACACAGAGGAAAACACAGAGGCGTCTGGATATAGCTGGTAGGATAGCACACTCTGTAAGCTGAGGTGGTTCGCTCTTCATTTCAGTAGCCTGCATTTTCATGACCTGAAGCAGGAATATTTCATGGCATGTTAATGCACGGACCGTTGGACTTTTAAATGTTACAGAGAGCATGCCATGATGTTAGAGACCATTGGTGCTATTGCTATAAATTTTGTGAAGGGCAACCGGATGAATTATATTTAGTGGGGATGATATTTACACATCAGTGCAGTTCAGAGAAAGACAACATTTAATTGGCTTGCTTCAATCGATCACAATTTATGAGATTATAAAGCCCTGCCTCCACAGATGCTTTCAATTCACATCTTAAGTGCTGGACGCTAAGGAGAGAAGCATCTTTTCTCACTGAGTGGATTTGTCTAGCATAAAGTCACAGCAGAATAAGACAGAAACTAAACATTTTCTCAGATAGGGATGTGGAGAGACTGACCTGCACCAACCCCGTCTTTAAATTAATGTGCCCAGACCAATATTCATTTATTCATTCATTTTCTTTTCAGCTTAGTCCCTTTATTAATCTGGAGTCCCACAGCGGAATGAACCGCCAACTTATCCAACATATGTTTTATGCAGTGGTTGCCGTTCCAGCTGCAACCCATCACTGGGAAACCTCAGATCAATAGTGCAACAGAATCTATATTTAATGAACAGTTATTTTTACATACACCTATTTAAAGCCCTTCTTTAGATGCACAAAGCTGTAACTGTTGATCACATTTTTTTTTATTTAGAATTCTATTCCATTTAAATAAGTCTTCATTGAAATAATATATATTGATATTAATTCATTGGCATTTTAGATATTTAAAGGGATAGTTCTTCTGGGATAGTAAATTAGTCATCATTTACTCGCCCTTTATGTGTTTCAGTCCGTTTCTTAGTTCTTTTAAACACACAAGAAAAGCTATTTTGAAGAAAACTGGAGATTTGTAATTATTGAGATATTGTGTTGTACTACTACTATGGAAGTCAATAGTAGTAGGTTCTCATCAGCTTTCTTTAAAATACCTTATTTTGTGTTCAAAAGAAGAAACTCATAAAGGTTTGAAACCACTTGATGGTGAGTAAATAGTGAGTACATTTTCATATTTTGGTAAACTACCTTTTTAATTATGATCACTTACACGTATCAATGCTTAATGTAAAATGTACCCACATAATATTAATATAAACATATCATTGTTAGGCTAATTAAAGAAATAATTTGAAACAAGTTAAAATACAGTTGAAGTCAGAATCATTAGCCGGCCTTTGAATTTGTTTTCTTTTTTAAATATTTACCAAATGATGTTTAACAGAGCAAGGATATTTTCACAGTATGCCTGATAATATTTTTTTCTTCTGGAGAAAGTCTTATTTGTTTTATTTTGGCTAGAATAAAAGAAGTTTTTAATTTTTTTTAACACCATTTTAAGGTAAAAATTATTAGCCCCTTAAAGCTATATATTTTTTCTATAGTCTACAGAACTAACCATGGTTTTACAATAACTTGCCTAATTAACCTAACCTGCCTGGTTAACATAATTAACCCAGTTAAGCCATTAAATTGCCCTTTAAGCTGTATAGAAGTGTCTTGAAAAATATCTAGTCTTATATTATTTACTGTCATCATGGCAAATATCAAATAAATCCGTTATTAGAAATGAGTTATTAAAACTATAATGTTAAGAAATGTGTTGAAAAAATCTCTCCATTTAACAGAAATTGAGAAGAAAAAAAAAAAACGGGGGCTAATAATTCAGGGGGCTAATAATTCTGACTTCAACTGTATATATTTTTTCTCAGTATCTCGAAAACACTGTTATGTCCTCTTTAATTTTTTCCCCCTTTTTTGTAGTATATATTTTTAAATGTGTAAATGCCTCTTCATTTCCTTTCTTGCATATTCTGCTAAGAAGCATTGCCTGGCCATGGTTTATGCCACCCATTAAAGCTCTGCTATACGTCCTTGTATAGACACATCACCCATAGATATTTACAGGTCTATCAATATTTTAGTGTGTATTTTAACAGTACGAAAATAGAATCAATTCAAGTCAAAGGCTATAAATAAAACAGGTAAATCAGGCAAGATTTTTCCTTGTTAAACCATCTTCACATCAGTCCTATCAACATTGCCTATAAAAGCAAGACATGAACTCTCAAACATCAAGTTTTGACCCTTTAAAAGCTTATGTTAATTACTTTGCTGGTCTGAAAGCTTTCTTCGTGTTAATAGCCTTGTCTACTGATTGATATGGTCTTGTGAATCTAAGTCCCATGACTGTATTCTTCATCTACCATGTAAAAGACTTATCTTCAGACGCAAATGACATTAGCAGCAACATTAAAACAAATTGCAAATTTAATCCTGTACACTATTTCTTACCCTTGAAAATGAACGGCTATGTTTTCATAAGTACCACAGTGAGGCTATCATGCGTTGTGTTATGAATATTTAATCAGAGAATGAGTTCGAAACAAAAGAGATTTGATCCCTTAAGACTTCCACATCACATGCTTTAAATTATCATACCTAAGAGCCTTTAGGTATACAATTATATATCTGCTGGTACATTTGTTTGTTATTCTGTGTTTTTCTTCCCTCGTCCTTTTATCACTTATCATTTAGTATGCGTAAATAAAGCATAAATTTGCCTTACAGGCACAATGTGATGGAAATGAGGCCTTTAATGTGCCTCTAGACTACAGATTTTGTTGTGCATCTTTGTGGTGAGAGCTAAAAAAAAAAAAAAAAAAAAGATTTACTGGTTATTCGTTTTTATACCCCCTATGACATTTAATAATAAGGGAGATCTAAGTAAACAGGAAGCTGCTCTTTTAATGCAATGACAGAGTGTGATCATAATGCAGAAAAAAATGTATATTAAATTAGCTTGTCCATCTTTCAGCACAATCTTTTCAATATACACACACGAAGGAAATGTTCTGTTCTTATTGTTATCATGCAATATAGCAGGACTTCAGTTCGCTTGCTGATCCTATTTCCATTTCCTCCATTTGCTGGAAATAAAAATGATGAAAAGAGCATGAAAGAGCCTCCATTAACATGCCGTGTCTCAAAACAAAACGCACAGTTTGTTGACTTTCACATTTATTCATATTGTGCCAAACAAGTCAAGCTTAATAGTATAAGCGATATAAGACAGTGTAAGTATATTCATCTGATATAATGCTCACAGATTTCATTACCAGCAAAACGTCAAACCGGGGGAACATCAAAACCTTGTGAGGCAGCCAAAGCAGTAATGAATAAAATATTTTAGGGAAGAAATTAATCTGGATTCAGCCTAGAAGCTGTATTACTATGGGAATTGATGAAAAGTGCTGAATACTATGTTTAGAATGCTTCTGTCTATCTTCTTTAATATCGAGGCTGCAGACCTGCTCATCATAAATAATTCAGAGAGGTTGATGAAACATCTATCTTTTTTAACTTTGTTTGTTCAAAAGGAAAGCGAGATGAAGAGGTTTATACAGTAATATATGCTGAAATTACAGAGGTCATAGTGATTTTTAAAACGGAACTAAACCAGTTGGCGTTTCTGCTGAAATCAATGAAAGCATGAATAATGTTCAAAATGTTTATAGTACCCTGAATTACTCTATGAAGAAACCTTAATCTATGTGCTGACAATAATTTAATGAGCTGTTATTAAAGGGCAGTTATTTTACCCCTTTTTTCAAGATTTAAGATGAGTGTTTTGTGTCTCCAGAATGTGTCTATAAAGTTTCAGCCCAAAACACCCATCTGATTATTTATCATACCTTTAAGAATATTGGATTTTTTTGCTCTGAACACAATGTAGCTGGTTTTGTTGCCTGTGCCTTTAATGCTAGTTCTTCCCGCCCACTGTTCCCACATGCCTGTTAGATTGTCCCCCATTTTTGGCTGCGTCAGATAAACAGCACAGTGACAGACATGAAAGGAGCAGATCTCATGTAACATTTGCGCACGTTTTGCAATTTTGCACTGTTTTTGCACGGCAAATGTGACAGGATACATATTAATATCCACTGCTGTATAGATATCCGTTATGTTAATGTAAAATAGAAACCTGATTTAACGTCCACAAACTGGGATTAATGTGTCGTCTTTTATAATTGTTCTTACATGTGGCTGTGGTGATAAAGACGGTAAAATGGCTGTAGTTCATTACAAACATGCTCTGTTTTAACAACGTTTTAAACCTGTAAAACTCATTCTTGTTCACATTTAATGATGATTGATGATCACAGTGAGCTCCACAGTTCTTTTAATCCCAGTTGCTTTGCGCACATCCTGTCTTGTGGATATGATTATAAGTTTTATTACGGAGACATGTTAATACAGGGGGGTCAATCAATTCAATGGCGGGTAAACCGCACTCCTACCTCACGTTGTGGTGGGCCTCAAAATGATAGGGA